AAGTTGTAGTCCATCAACCCAAATGTATGGCAGAATTGGTTTGAAGGCCTATATTTGCATAGTTAAGCCACCAAATGCAAAACAAAATTTGAGTGCAGTGTGTATAAGAGTTATATTATTTAAAATTGTGTGTGCTTTTACCATTAATGGACCAGGTTTTGACTGTAAGTATATAATGTTATTATATTGTATGCTTGTAATGAGATAAGAGCATCATTGTAATAAAAAGCGGCCACATTGGTTATATCAATCATGAATAAAGCAGAATGATCAGATTGAGCCCATATCAGGCAACTGATAAGATGATCTTTTGTTTGGTTGTTTGACCAAGTTGCATCGGCTGGGTTTGAATTCCACTTTCTAATGGATTTTGTTACCAGTAATGAGCAGCTCTAATGTGATTAGAGTGGACATAACAAACCTTGTATTCAAAACTTACCCCTAACCTCAAATTATGGGCTCTTTTTCTTACCACTTTGTATTGATTGATGGGTTCCCACACTTTGTGCGCGGTTGATCATTGCATGCTGGGCTCTACATAAAACTCATTCTTCATACCTCAGAAATCATAATATTTCTTGAATAGCACCACTTTGTGTAGGCAGTCTATACTGTTGATGTCATGACTTGAAGTCAAGTGACAGGGAAAAGAACAAACCTCAAGCCCAGGGGCATTTGATGGGGTATTAACTGAAGCAACAAATAAGCAATGCTGGAATTCAAGGCTAGGGACAAGTAAGTTAGTATTGAAAAGGTAAGTAAGTACATGAGCTTACTGACTTTGGAACAAAAGGTCAAAACTGAGGTCCCTAGGGCAGCAGAGGCTGGCTTATATATAGAGAAAGTTTAGGGGAGGCTGTGTGTCCTGGTCTGTGCACAGCTGGTCCGTGCACAGCCTGCTGACACAACCCCGGAGGCCAGTGAGTCAGAGTGGCTGTGTCAGCAAAGCCCAAGCTGTGCCATGCACTGCCATCCCATCTAATCTAATTGTACAGTAGATAACAACTTGTCCATTTGAGCGTATAATACAGAGGTTGTGGGTTCGAGCCCATGAAAAAGAAAAATTAAAAAACAGCTAAACACCATACCAAGTTGTGACACCAAGCATCTCTTGCATGCTAAATTTCCAACATTATTTGGCAGCCATGTCCAATGTACATCCCACATACTGATGGTATTTGATGTGCATACTTGCTATAACACCACAACAATAATGATAACATACCATTGCTCAAATTTACACTAACCCCAGACTATGAATAGCTTTTTCCTGTCTGCAATTGGTCTAAACCCACTCTAGTGCATGATTGTGTAAATTTATACAACAATAGAAACATTTTTGGTCACTCTATAATCTGTACAATATCTGACAACACTAGTACCAATTAGGGGAGTTGTCTATTGCAGAGCTTTCAGTAGGTTTGTGAGGATCAAACCTGTTTGTAATATGTCATCAATGCTTCTATAAATATATTCAACAAGTACAAGTGCCAGATTAACATAGGTATGTGTCTTAATAACATAAATTAGTAAATAGTGAAATTTACTCAAAAAGGCAGGTTATATACAGGCTTCTTCCCACTGTCTTTGGGAGTTGAGGAGGACTTCATTCAAGGGCAAAATTCATGCTAAGTCCAAATAAATTGGTGGAGATCATATTATAAATCACATCACATAAGTCATGTGTGTCACAAGTTGACACGGCGTCTAGCCATTTTTTGTTTTTGTTTTTTCCTTTTTGCAGGCTTGAACCCGCGACCTCTGTACTGTATGCTCAAATGGACAAGCCTCACCAGCACATCACATTTTCCTGTAGATAAGATTAGATTAGATAGGATGGCAGTGCACAGCACAGCCCGGGCTCCACTGACATAGCCGCTCTGACTCACTGGCCTCTGGGGTTGCATCAGCAGGCTGTGCACGGACCAGCTGTGCACAGACCAGTGCACACAGCCTCCCCTAAACTTTCCCTGTATATAAGCCAGCCTCTGCTGCCCTAGGGACCTCAGTTTCAACCTCTTGTCCCCTAGGTCAGTAAGCCCTTTTTGTATTTCTTTCTTACCTAACTAATATATTCACTTGTCCCTAGCCTTAGGTTTGAGTGCTGCTCACCATTGCTTCGGTGAGACCCAGTCAAACACCCCCAGCCTTTTGGTTTGTTCTCTCCTTGTCTCTTGACCTCAAGTTGTGACATTAGGTTGAAACTCCCCCTCGCTGCTGGCATTCACATGCAACTCTTTCATTCATTCATTTCCTACAGGTTGGGTGGTGTGCACCCTTACTATACTATATGACACATAGATAGCCTACCATACATCGCCACCACTCAGAGAACGAACTATTCAGTACCTGCACTTCAGTGGGCAGTACTTGTCCTCATAAACACATGGCTTAAATTCCTGCTGCATACTAGCCAAAAGCAGTACTGGGACCCACATGAACTGTGAGCTCTAGTGTCATCTTGGGCGCTGTAGGTGTACACTAGCTAGTACAGCCTTTCGTAGTATGCGCATGTCCCCTTCCTATCTCCATCACCATGGCTGAAGAAGCCTTTGATTGTACGGGACTAGAACACACATATGATGCCGTCGATCAGGTTGACATTGCATGATATGACAAAGAAGAATCCCTCTTCTATGATTGTGACCGGCAACCGTGCCCCAACTGTACCCCTCGATCCATCATTGCTGACAAAGGGTGTTTCATCTCGATCAGACAGGTCCAACACCCTCAAGGCCCAGCTCTCAGATACACTGACATATCAAGATCTACTTTCCGCCATGTCACTCCCGTCCCACATCCCCGGGCACCTGCATTCCCCAACCTATTGCCAATACAGGTCAAGTGTGAGGAGATCCCAATCTTCCTTGAGGAATTGAGGCAGTCGCACAGCCTACAGCGACCCCTCAAGCGATCCCCCAGTCCTCTGTGGGGCCATGGGTGGAAATTGTCCCAAAGTCTGAGCCTAGCAACCATCCAGGGATTAGTTGGGCCAGCTCGTTGTCTGTGGTCCCCTCCTCATCTTCAATCTCTGACATATGTCACTCCACCTCCAGACTTCCTCCATTGCCTCCACCGCCATCGCCGCCGTAAGGCTGCTCACGCACTCACTCCCCTCGAAGTCCACCTGGTGAATGGCCACAACCACTGCCTCCACCCCTGGGCTGTCCTCCGTCCTTCCCGCCACTGGTAATGTCAACCCCTGCACCCTCTCCTCATGACAAGGAGACATTGAAACTCCTCCTCCTCCGATACAATGGGAAAACTGTCATCGAATGCAACTGCTTTATCTCACAGTTGCTCATATACTGGCAGGTCAACACTGCCCTCTCCACTATCAAGCTCCAAGTGCAAATTGCACTAAGCCTACTTGATGGTGATGCCCACACATAGGCCACCCCCATTTATGCTCAAATCACAGCTGTCATGGTTGGAGTCCAAGGGACAGTCACGCCTTTCGCCAACATTAAAGACTTTCTCACTGTGTTCAGAAGTCACTTCAGCAATCTCAATGACGCTGCATCTGCGCAGGTAGAGCTTGCCAAGCTTTGCGCTGACAAATCAACACGTAAAAGATGCACTGCCACGGAGTTTTCCACACTGTTCAAGGGTCCGGCGGACCATTCTGGGTATGGTGACCTGGAACTACCTGAGCAGCATCCCCTCCCACATATATCGCAAAATTGAGCTCAAAACCTTCGCCATGTGGGAAGCCGCTAACAAGCATGCCACAGAAGTTGAGTAACAACTCAACATTAGCCGGGCCTGTCAGCCTGAGTTAAATAGTTTCTTCTCGGCTTGAGAAGAAGCACGCGGTGGAGCCTATGGTGGTGCACCCCAGTCACAAGGCGCCTTGGCCAGCATCAATGCAGCTGTTGGCAAAGGAGATTTCCCCAACAGTTGTTATGACTATGGAAAGAAAGGGTACCATCACTTCAAGTGCCCTGACTGTAAGGACAAACCATACACAAAACGCGCTGATGCGCGGGCTATGGTTGCCTCAAGTTCTACTCAGGCTACAACAAGTGCCCCCATCACCTCATCCTCAGCAGGTACAAGTGCCGCTTCAGCCCATCCAGAGAAATCTGAGTCACTAGCAGACTTGATGGCACAGATGAAGTCAATGCATGAGGAGCTTGAGCACTATCAGGCAATGAAGGAAGAGGGTTTTTGATCTGGTCTGCGCTTCGTGCTGCACACGTTGGACCACATAATAACAATCTGTACAATGTATTGGCGACTGCAAATGTGTACGAGTTGGACCATGGGTCCCAGCATTTTCACATCTCAGTGTGCCTTAAAGGAGAAAGACGGCACAAAGACATAGTCATAATGGTGGACAGTGGAGCCACCACAAAGTTTATCAACAAGTGTTTTATCATGGAAAATTGAGTACAAACATGAAAATTGAAGGAACCAATTCCACTATACAATATTAATGGAACACTCAATAAAAATGGAAGCATCTTGGAAGTAGCCGTGCTACAGATGCAGATAGGAGATCACGTCGAGAAAATGGTGTTCACAGTCACAGACATAGGTCCAGAAGATGTGATCATCGGGTTGGACTGGCTATGCAAGCACAACCCTGAGATTGATTGGGAGACAGGCTCACTTAAACTGTCACAATGCCCTGAAATGTGTGGTGCTAGGAAGGCTGGCCAAATGGAGCAAGCGGCGACTGCACATGATATGGGAGTTAGGCCCACGGTGTGCAGGTGTTCGCTGAAGTCCAAACGGTCAGTCATTAATGCCTGCCAAAGTAAGGTACTCCCGGACTTTGAACCCAAAGAAGATCCGAAGGAAATTGAGTGGGATGAGACTAATTTGATCGAAGCCTGGGAGCAAGGCATCATGCTTCCAGGCACCCCTCAGCTATTTGTCGCAGCAGGGCATACATTGTCGTGACTTGGGGTCAAGCGACAAGAACAAACAAACATGAAGGCTGGGGGTGTTCGACTGGGTCTCACCGAAGTGATGGTGAGCAACGCTCAAACCTAAGGCTAGGGACAAGAAATGTATTAGTTAGTTAAGTAAGAAAAGGAATACATGAGAGGCTTACTGACCTAGGGACAAGAGGTTGAAACTGAGGTCCCTAGGGCAGCAGAGGCCGGCTTATATACAGGGGAAGATAAGGGCAGGCTGTGCGCATTGGTCCATGCGCAGCTGGTCCGTGCATAGCATGCTGATGCAGCCCCAGGGGCCGGTGAGTTAGAGCGGCTGTGTCAGCGGAGCCCAAGCTGTGCCGTGCACTGCCACCCATCTAATCTGATTGTACAGTAGATAAGGAAATGTCCATTTCAGGCATATAGTACAGAGGTCACGGGTTCAAGCCCACAAAAAGGAAAAAATTAAAAAGACGGCTAGATGCCATGTCAACTCGTGACATACATATTCCCAGCTGTTCACTGAGAAAAAGATCAAGAAGGTCATTAAGACTGCCAAGGAGTTAGTACTGAAATAGTACCACAAGTCCCTGAATGTCTTCTCCAAGGAAGCATCAGAACGGCTACCCGAAAGGAAGCCATATGATCACATGATCGAACTCGTGCCTGGCTACTTGATGTTCCACTCAAAGGTGTACCCCTTATCAAACAATGAGCAGGAGTAGCTGGATAAATTCCTAAAGGAGCAGCTGGCGAAAGGTTACATATGAAAGTTGAAGTTGCCTATTTCATCCCCCTTCTTCTTCATCAAGAAGAAGGAAGGGACACTTCGACCCATACAGGATTACCACCAGTTGAACACTATCACTGTCAAAAATCGCTATCTGCTGCCACTGATTGCCAAGATGGTTGATAAGCTCTGAGGTACCATGCTCTTTACGAAGTTTGACATTCGATGGGGATACAATAACGTCTGGATCAAAGCTGGTGATGAATGGAAGGCTGCCTTCATAACTAACCGGGAACTGTATGAACCCCTGGTAATGTTTTTCAGCCTCACCAACTCCCCCACAACCTTCCAGGCCATGATGAACAAAATCTTCCATGATCTCATTATTGGTGGAAAGGTCCTCGTGTACCTAGATGACATACTCATCTTCTCCACCAACAAAGTGGAGCATGAGAAAGTCACACACGAGGTCCTGTGTCGCCTTCAGGATAATAATCTATTCCTGAAGCCTGAGAAGTGCGAATGGGATGTTCCTAAAGTCAACTATGTCGGCTATGTGTTCGGTGGCGATGAGGTAGCAATGGATCCTGCAAAGCTGAAAGGAATTAATAAGTGGCCAGTACCCTGGAACAAAAAAGACATTCAGAAGTTCTGGGGGTTCTCCAACTTCTACTGTCGCTTCATTGAGGACTTCACTAAGATCTTGTGACCACTTGACCGACTCATAGGGAATGACCCCTGGCATTGGGGAGATGAGGAACAGCATGCCTTTGATGAGCTCAAATGGCTCTTCAGCACAACCCCTGTCCTAGCACTGTATAACCCCAATTGGGAAACGCACATCGAGGTTGATGCCTCCGGGTATGCTACTGGTGGCATATTGATGCAGAAGCAGGACAATGATAAGTGGCATCTGGTTGCCTTCAGATCCCACGCTATGGACCCTGTCCAGCGTAACTACGAGATCTACAATAAGGAAATGCTTGCGATCATTGAAGCACTATATGAGTGACACCACTATCTCGAGGGATTGCCCAAACAGTTCGAGATTGTGACTGATCATAAGAACCTCAAATACTGGTGCACATCACAGCACCTCATGCATCGTCAAGCGCAATGGTCACTGTTCCTCACCCACTTCAATTTCCGCATCACGCATAAAGCCAGAACGTTGAATGGAAAGGCTGATGGCCTATTACGCTGATCAGACCATCAGGTCAGCGATGAGGATGACAACACCGATCAGATTGTCCTTAAACAGGAACACTTCCACATCGCCGCCACACAGTGTGGGCACGCCTCAGTAACAGCCGATCAATCGCTCCTGAAGCACATCAGGGAATGTTTGAAGAAGGATCGGGCAGTGGCCAAGGCACTTGAAAAGGTGCAAGACCTCAGGCCACCTCAGCTGCAGAAGGGTTTCGAGGAGTGGAATGCTGAGCAAGGGCTTCTGTTGTTCCATGGATGTGTATATGTCCCAAAGAATGTGGAGCTCCGGTGGGATATCATCAAAATCCACCATGACTCGTCGATTGCTGATCATGGTGGTTATACCAAAACCCTCGAGCTGGTGTCGTGGAACTACTGGTGGCCTGGGATGTCTAAGTTCATCAATGAGTACATAAGCACCTGCAACATGTGCAACCGTACCAAGATATTCCCAGCCAAGCCCCAGGGTCTGCTGGAGCCAAATGAGATTCCCGAGCACTCGTGGCAAATCATCACCACTGATATGATTGTCGGCCTGCCGAAGTCTGATGGATTCGTCTCGATCCTGGTCACTGCTGACCACTTCACCAAGCAGGTCCACTTCTCGGCCTGTCATGAGACCCTAATGGCAGAAGGTGTGGCAGACCTGTACATCTGCAACGTGTTCAGACATCATGGGGCCCCGGCCAAGGTCATATCAGACCGAGGTCCCCAGTTTGTATTGAATTATCTCCATGCAGTGTACAAGGGACTTGGGATCGAGCCGGCACTATCTACAGTGTTCCACCCTCAAATGGATGGCCAGACCGAGCACTGGAATCAGGAGATTGAGCAGTACCTGTGCGCTTTCACAAGCCACAGGCAGGATGATTGGGCAAAACAGTTGCTGCTTGCCGAATTCACATTAAACAATAGAGTTCACTCCACAACCGAGCACTCCCCTTTTTTTTGCATCAGGGATACCATCCCGAGATCCAGGTGTGGATCAATCCGATGTCTGTGATGCCCATGGCCGCCAACCAGCTTAAGATTCTGAAGGAGATTTGGGATGATGTGCGCTCCATGCTTGAACTATCAGCTAAGCAGATGAAGGTGTACTACGATAAGCACGTGCAGGAGGCACCGGTCTTTGTGCCAGGGGATAAGGTCTGGCTTGATGCTCGGAACCTTAAGCTGAAACAATCAAGCAAAAAGCTCAGTCCCAAGCATCTCGGACCATATGCCGTGCAGCGAAAGCTCAGAGACTTAGATTACAAATTGGATCTGTCGAAGTCAGTGCCTGTGCACCCAGTGTTCCATGTCTCCTTGCTTAACAAGTACATGCATAGCAAGATCCCAGGCCAGGAGCCAGAGGAGCCACCTACCATTGAGGATGAGGATGATGAGCAGTATGAGGTTGAGTGGGACAAAGATTTGAGGATCTTCCGGCATCAGCTGCAGTCACTCATCAAGTGGAAGGGTTATGAAGACTCACATATGTCATGGGAACTGGTGCGCAATGTTGTGAATGCACTGGCCCTCATAGCTGACTTCCACCAGAAGCATCCAAACGCCCCTTGCCACTCCAACACTGCCACCTTTGAAGGTCTCAACTTCCAGCCAATGTCTTTGCCACTGACTGAAGCACACTACCGCTCCAGGTGGGAGATGGGCAAGGGTGCCTCGCATGAGGTCATGCATCATTGAGAGGGTGGTAATGTCACAAGTTGACATGGCATCTAGCCATTTTTTAATTTTTTCCTTTTTGCGGGCTCGAACCCATGACCTCTGTACCATACGCTCAAACAGACAAGTCATTATCTACTGTACGATTAGATTAGATAGGATGGCAGTGCACAGCACAGCCCGGGCTCTACTGACATAGCCACCCTGACTCACTGGCCTCTGGGGTTGCATCAGCAGGCTGTGCACGGACCAGCTGTGCACAGACCAGTGCACACAGCCTCCCCTAAACTTTCCCTGTATATAAGCCAGCCTCTGCTGCCCTAGGGACCTCAGTTTCAACCTCTTGTCCCTAGGTCAGTAAGCCCCCTTTGTATTCCTTTTTTACCTAACTAATATATTCACTTGTCCCTAGCCTTAGGTTTGAGTGCTGCTCACCATTGCTTCGGTGAGACCCAGTCAAACACCCCCAGCCTTTTGGTTTGTTCTCTCCTTGTCTCTTGACCTCAAGTCGCGACAATATGCATATCACGTGAAAATTCAAACTCCACAATCTTAATCCCCCTCAACTCCCTATGACAGCTGGTATAAAACATTTGTAAACAGCAGTGCTCAAAGCCAGACCTTTTCCATATAGTAATAAATCATGGCCAAAAAGTAAAAGCATAGAACTAAATGACATGATATATGTTTCCATCAAAATAAACATGCCGCTGCATTGCCTAGAGTACAGAGTTGTAACATGGGTGCACGCAAATACTTGTGCTGCCTGCAATGGCTCTAAACAAGCCCCCCTTGCTGACTATTGATGCTACCCAGAAGAAGACATTTGTGAAGCTGGGCTGTGACCTTTGCGAATGGCAGGCAAAGGTGGTGCATGAGATTCTAAGAGCAGAAAAGGATGTTACAGTTCACCACAAAAGTGTTGATAGGATTGCTTGATTCAGAATGATCACTCTATATCTCTGCAACAGGAGCAGCTAATCATATGACAGTTGCTATTTTTGAAAGCCCTACATGTGAGCTTTGAAACACAGCCACAGCCATATGATTTGACTATGTACATCTTGTGCAATGAAAGATCTTTAAGGTCATGTCTTATCAACACTTTTGTGATGGTCACTCTGGACAACAGAATTCATTGCTAGTAACTCTTTTCAGATGTCTAGCATGTATCTCCCAGATGGACAATGATCCATAGCACCCAATTCATCATTGAAAGGCATAAACAAGCATGAGAACCCTGCCAAAAGTAGCATACAACCTGCCTTTTT